AGAATGTTGAGGGGGAGGAGGGAAGGAGAAGGATTTGATTTGGTTGATCTCAACTAATGAGTAAAGTCATGGGAAGGGGAGAGGAAGAAATATTTTTTAATTTTATTTCAATATTAATCTTTCACTGTCTTGATCTATGTAACTATGAAATTACGTTATTTCGATATGCCATCAGTCCGATTTTTTATTTTGCGCCACACAAACTTTTATCACAGCCTCCCTAATTTACTTCCAGTTAAATATAAAAATTTTAAAAATAAATTATTTTTAAAATATCAAAGAGGGGAGAGGTTTTTACCTATGAATCATCCTATGATGCAAAGTGTTTTTTATTCGTAATTATTAATTGTTTTCATTTCATCAGTTTAAAAACTCTAATCTAAATATTCCAAAACTTTTTGAATAAATACAAAAATCACTTTGACTATTTAATCTATTTTAAACATATTTTCTTATTAGATTTAAACTACAACGAATCACATGCAAAGAAAAATGCGCTGAATTTTTTTTATGTGACAAATTTCATTACTCGTTTGTTTGTGATAATTTTTGAACAACAATTTTTATTAAATGTTCCATTTTTACTACATGTCCCTTTAGAACAGTGGCGGAACTACTGGACGCAGGACCCTGCGTTGCGGGGGGGCCTACCAGCTATAGGGGGCCCTCATATAAAAAAAGTTATACTCTCAATAATATTTATACTATAAAACTCTTTTCCGCAAAAAAAACATTCTTTTGCGGGGGACCCACAAATTTTGAAGTTCCGCCACTGCTTTAGAATTGTTTATATTTAAAAAAAAATTAACGCGAAAAGACCACAACCTGTCATTGAACATGATTAAATCCGAATACATATTTAAGAACAAAATGCAACGATAATCATACATTTTAATATAAGTTTTTCACTGTCATACATTGTACAAATTGCCCATGCCAAAGCATATGTCTATTAAAAACCTGTTGTTTTTAACTGTAAATAAAATAGTTGCACTGCAATATACAGACAAATAGGTAGAACATGCAAAGGTTGCCGCTACATTGACTGAAGATTTCGGTTTAGGCAGGCAATCTATCAATTTAAAAAAAGTATTAAAAAAATTTTTATTTTTACCTAGAACCCAACATGAGCATGCTGATTTTGCCCCAAAATTGCCATCCTATTATTGGTCAAACAATATTGGAGCAAAACCAGTATGCTAATACTTGCAAGTAGTGGTATATCAATATTGTTTACCATTAGACCACTTTTTATTTTTAAATAATACATTACCAGAAACGAATAAACTTTATTAGGATTGCAAGTATTGGGTTTTAAAAAACAAAGTTAACAACTAATGTCTTTAAAATCTAAATTTTTTTTTTATTTTAAAACCGTAGATTGTAACCACCTTTAGGGTAGTTTCAATCACCTAGCAAATTGATACAGGCTAGGTGGTTGAAACTATCCTAAAGGTGGGTTCAAAAAACGTCCAAAACGTTCAAACGACGTCGAAAACTTTTAAAAGACGTCTTTTTTACGTAGGCGGCTGCACAATTCAATTTAAATGAAAGAATGTTTTAACATCAGGACACTGCATGTAGTGAGTATTATGGGGAGGGAGGTTTAGCAAACATACTCGAACTCTTTACACAACTGATTCCCATTGAGCAACGAGGAATGTAATTGTCTAATATAAGTAGTATTTGTCTTTTGTTGGCACAGTTGATCAACTAGATGTTGAAGCACAGAAGTAAAAAATTCTGACGTCATTCATTCGCTTTTTACACTATCCAAATTATGATAAAACTATCCAAATTATGACGTTTTATATAGAGGTTTAATATAGATTACTGTAGAGTTACTAGATGTTGAGTAGAGTCGGATATTGTAATCTGATGCGCTTTTTTACAAATAATATATATAAATAATTTTAGAGACAAAGCGAAGTTAAAAACTATAAATAAATAATTATAAAAAAAAAAAATTGAATTTCAAATGAAATGAATTACGCAACCACTGGTCGAAAGTTCCTAGGTTATGTATTTCGAATGCAAGTGATATAAATAAACGAGCGTTATTAAAAACTGAAATAATCTTTTTTTATGTATACTAATAAAACTCGTAAAAAAATGTAAAAAAATAAAAAAAAAAGAGTATTTGTTATATTATGTGCAAGATAGATTATCTATAATTTTTTTAGAATATAATAAAATAACATTTTATATCAATAATGAAACTTTTTTAAAAACCGATTGATACTTAATTCCAGCGATAATTTATTAACAGGTAAAACATTTATAAAAGTTCCAAGTGGCATTTTTAGGCATTTTAGAAAAAATTTAAAAGGTTGAATGTTCCTCAAGGTTGAATATTCCCCGTCTTTCCCTACACAGCCATTGTTTCTAATTTATATTTGTATGCATTTCTGTTACAGTACTTTCAAAAAATGTTTTTTTCTAATTTTTTTGTTTATCATTCATCGTTAGGGTACAGCGAATTTTTTCATAAGTACCCTAATTTTAAAAATAGAAATATTCATTTATAAAAATAATTTTAAAATTAAATGTTGCAAATAATAATCATGAATATGTAATGAATGATGGAAATAAATTAATAACTCTTAAAGCAATGAAATTAACACACACAGGTTGCAACACGTAAAGCAAATATCAAACTTGGCCTATTAAAAAAAAAAATTAGATCAAGAAATATAAAGCAGTAAGTAGTAAGCAGTGGAGGCAGTAGTAGCGTCTGTTAGGCTTCATTTAGAATTCACTATTCTGGTATGTTGTTCTTACCTAAAAAGTGACATCAAGGAAATTGAAAAAATTTAGCGCAAAACAACAAAAATGCCTCATGATTTAATAGAATTAACTTAAACTGAAAGGTGTCGGCAATTTTATTACTTTGGAAACTCTCAGACGATGAGTCGACTTGATCCAAACAGTTTAAACTAGAAAACGTTGTTGAGATCATCAATTGGCATAATCCACCAGTTCGCAAATCACCATCCAACGTCGTAATGCGTGAATTCACATATAATAATCATCGTCGTAATTTCTACACAATTTGTATAGTCAATCATTGGAGTAACTTGCCAATAGCATGCAAAATGGCTCCATCAATTAATGCGTTTGAGAATAGAATTGACAAGTATTTTTTTTTTTAAAGCTGCCAATAGAACATCTTTTACTGAAGATGAGCTGCACGTTTATTAATTAGTTCGTGCTTTAGCAGCTACAAATATTGACTTTTTAGACATTATTTGTTATAAATATTCTTTTTTCTTTTTTTATTTTTAATATCAACTTATTTGCTATAAAATATATAATGGTTTTCTTTACATAAAGTTTATAATTTACAAATCATAAAGTATTGTAGAATTTATTAATTTTCTTTTTTTTAATTATTTGTCTTGAAATTTAAAAAGATTTATTTAAATATATTACTATTACTAATATTATTAAAAAAAGTCAGTATAAGCTCTCTCATGTTCAGAAATCCGGAGTGATGAACACCTGACTCCGGACTACATGCGGTAGTGATGCAGTGGTAGAGCGCTCGTTTCATAAGTGAGTGGTTCCGAGTTCGATCTCCACCATATCCCTGGTAGTACCGCGCTCAACTTGTTTTTCCGCACAACGGCCTTGCTTGACAGAGTTCGTTTTTTGGAGTTATAGAGTTAAGTTATAACCACAATTAAGTAGCTTCCTTGTCAGTAGTATCCTTCTAAGTCTTGGGGAGGTGAATTAATATTTACAAAAAAATTCTCTGACTAGTAATAACTTAATTTTAAAATTTTTAATGTTCTATTTTTTAAAAATTATTTTACAATTCTATATAATAATGACAAATGACAAATTTTTTAAATGTGAATGTACTATTTAAAAAATATCTGCAGTTTTTTATAACAAATTTACTAACTTTTTACATTGTTAATGTTAATTCCTTAAAAACCCTTTTAAAAATATATATATACGACTACTAACATGAGTTCGTAAATGTCAAAACAAAGTCAACAATATCTCTTATCATGTTAGACTCCAAGTTCAGACGACAAAAAATTTCAAAAAATAACACTTTCTTAAATTTTTTTTATACAAGTTAAACATTTTTTATTTTGTGTTTTTTATAATCGTTGGGGCACCTCAATATAATTTCTTAAAACGTTTCAATTTTAAAGACTATTTCTGATAACGTTTCTAAAGCTCTTAAAACATTTAGCTAAAACATCTCTATTTGAACCATAAATTTAAAAGCTTCATCAATTTATAATAAAATTTTTAGTCCCGTAATAAGCATTGTACAAGTTTATGACAAGTTTAAGCACGAACAAGTTTAATATACATGGACTCATCCATGGGTTTGCAGTTTTCTATTTAAAAATATAAACTAATAATAATTAAAAAATATAAACTAATTATAAATGTAAAATTTATAAATTTTTTATAAATTTTTATTTACACCTACGGTTAATAATATGGCTATTTAGCTCATACAATTGATTGATGAAAAACATTATCTTAAGAACTGATCCATAGAAACAGCATGATAATAAAAAAGTATTAAAACATTAAAAAAAATCATCAAGCTAATAATATTTGTACATTGTTTAAAAACATTTAGTTTTTGTTTTTGATATTGGCGCAAAACCAAACGTATTTAAAAAAAAAGACACGTTTGAACAAAATAAAGTACAAGAAAGAATAAGCGTAGCAACAACATATAAGGCAACAACTAAGTAAAAGCAATATAGCAACCAAGCCCATTCTTAAGACTTCAATTATGTACTAAAAATTAGAAATTTTTAATCAAAATTTAAAGCTACGGTAATTTGCATTTTTATTTGGTTCCATGCTAATTAAATTATAGAAATCAGAAATTATATATTGAACCCTTGTATTCAGTGTTGTTATGTAAAAAAATAAAATATTAACTATAAATAAATTTTTTAATTTCTTAATCCATAATTTTTACTATTTAAATAAACAAACATATAAACAAATATTTAGCTAACCGTGACATTGGTTCGTGTATAAAATCGTCAGCATAAAAATTGCATTACATTGTCGGCTCATTTTTTTTTCTAGTGTTAATCTAAGTTAAACTTTTATTTTAAGTGGAAAGGAAAAAAAAGACGCACCAGCAACAAGTGACAAATAAAGGGATTAACATTTTAACAATACCATTTTTATTTACAAACACAAAAGAAAGTCACAACCGCTATTAAAAAATAATATTCGGTGACAGTTGCGGTTGTTTTCAGTCGTAATTATATGTTCGTTTGTTGAAGTTAGCGTCAGAAATAACTGCTTTTTTTGCGTACTTTTTTAAAGCATGAAACAAATTTATTTGATTGATTTTTAAATAAAAATTATTCTTAAAAAATGTTACTTTTACTAATAAATTTTTGTCAGTTGATTTTTGCATATTTTTATATTATCATACATAATTAAATTAGTGGTTGACTTATTGTTTATTCCCAAATATTTTAAAGAAAGCAACACGATATTTGACAACACCCAAATTTATTCAAGACGCATAGAATGATTTAATAAAGAATCGCAATTATATTAATATCTTCTTTAATATCTTTTATTTTAATGTAATATCTCATCTTTACTTTCTTTAAGCTCAATGTATTATTAAAATTCATTTATGTATTGATGACTATTATGTATAAAAAAAAAAGTGTTAGGTTTAGTAAAATTATTCAGAAACACGGAAAACATTTTTCTTTAATCATTATAAAATAGTAAATATACAAAAATAAAAAATATTTTATGATTATCATAATATAATAATTAATAATTTTAGACATTTACAGAAATCTAAGAAGTAATAATATTTTTTGCGTTTTTAAAAACATTTAAAGAATGTAATAAGAACTCACTTGTAAGTGTTAATAAGGACCGCTATTTATACAAAATCAATTTTGTGTGGAAATATATCCTGCTGGAGTTTTTTAGAATTTGAAATGATATTGAAAGAATTATCAACTAAAGCGGTTATAGTTACTGATATTGATTGCAGTACATGCAGAAATCTCATTTCATTCAGAAGTTAAGTTTTTCTCAAACCATAAACAAAATTGCTTATCTGCAATTTATTTATTCGACCAATTTTGAAAACAAAATTTTATATATATATATATATATATATATATATATATATATATATATATATATATATATATATATATATATATACATATATATATATATATAGTATATATATATATATATATACTATATATATATATATATATATATACTATATATATATATACATATATATATATATATATATATATATATATATATATATATATATATATATATATATATATATATATATATATATATATATATATATATATATATATATATATATATATATATAGTCGCTAGCTAGCTCATTTCCCACCGGGATATATATATATATATATATATATATATATATATTACATATATAGTATATATATATATATATATATATATATATATATATATATATGCTATATATATATATATTATATATATATATATATATATATATATATATATATATATTATGTATATATATATATTATGTATTATATATATATATACATATATAAATATATATATATATATATATATATATATATATATATATATATATATATAGTATATATATATATATATATATATATATATATAGTCGCTAGCTAGCTCATTTCCCACCGGGATATATATATATATATATATATATATATATATATATATATATTACATATATATATATATATATATATATATATATATATATATATATATATATGCTATATATATATATATTATATATATATATATATATATATATATATATATATATATATTATGTATATATATATATTATGTATTATATATATATATACATATATAAATATATATATATATATATATATATATATATATATATATATATATATATATATATATATATATATATATATATATATATATATATATATATATTAGTTTATAAAGCTATTTTTTGTTTTGAACACAATATTAGCATTTTTGGAGAACTACTTTTTTTATATTAGTTTAAGCCGATGTAAAGTATGAAATTTAAGTATTATTCATTTAAAACGCCAAAATACTAACGCCATAAAAATTAGCGTAGATTTTTTCAAAGTGATAACTGTTGATATTAGCCGTGGATAATGCAAATATTACCATTAATTAATTAAAATGATAATATTTGCATTGAATATATAATTCTTTTGCTAAGGTTGATATGTTTATTTAATCATAGAATGTATAATTGCACAAGACTGTTGACCTTTATTTGTCAATAGAATTAAAAAAAAAAAAAAATTTAAACTTTAATTTGTCAACAGAACAAAGGTCAATAGTATATAAATATAACCTCTGTTTTAACTGTTTTGCATGTCTGCTTTTTCTTAAAAAAGATTAAATTAAATGTATTAACGTTATATCTATTAAATATGAGTAGTTAAATCACCATGCAATTAAAACAAAAATTTAAACGATTCTCTAGACGATCGTTACACTTTCGTATTTCTCGCAAAACAACTTAAAATGTTTTTAACGCGATTTACAAAGGAAACTACACCTTTTCTGGATCAATTTAAAAGAAATACGAATCAATTTAAAAGAAGTACGAATCAATTTAAAAGAAATACGAATCAATTTAAAAGAAATACGAATCAATTTAAAAGAAATACGAATCAATTTAAAAGGAATACGAATCAATTTAAATTAGTAATTTAAAAGAAATACGAATCAATTTATAAGGAATACGAATCAATTTAAATTAGTAATTTAAAAGAAATACGAATCAATTTAAAAGGAATACGAATCAATTTAAATTGATCTTTTAAATTGATTCGTATTTCTTTTAAATTTTCATGAATAACTTATAATTCCAGATATATGGCTTTTAAAAAACTATAATTCCCGCAACAATGCTTTTATAAAAGCATTTTCTTATTAAAATACGATTTTAAAATTTACTTTTTATTTATAGATAAAATCTCAAAAAATATGTTATGGTATATAAAATTAAATCATTTATTAAAAATTCCTCTGTATCTAGAATTATCTAAAAAAAGGTCCTTCAGAAAAAAATGTGGGGGGGGGGGGGGGGAAGATAGGGATATTACATAAGGATGTGGTAAGCTAAAAAAAGATCAATAATAAACAAAAACATTCATGCAGGATATTTGGTGTTAACAGAACTGTTCATGGAGAATCTCTTTTAAGGGAACTTAACTAAACAATATACATCAAAATTTGCTGCTCCTGTATTTTTTTTAAACAAAGTATGGTTTATAAAAAAATGGCCTTTACAAAACATCTTCTAACATACTTTGTTTTTACTTTAGCGACATTTCTCACAAATATCCCACAAAATTATTCTATGATTATTCATTGTAGCAAATGTCTTTCACAAAGTAACCAAGATCTTTCCCACTTTTATATATAAGTGAGAAAGTGTTTAAAAAAATACAGGAACAGCAAATTTTGATGTATAAAATGTTTGCTGGGTAAACATTGAAAAATAATATTTTTTAATGTTTACCCAGCAAACATTTTTGTAATGGAGTTGCAGTGGATCTATATAAGCATTTTGAATGGTTCGTTTGAGTTTTGCTCATCAGTTAATTAGTGGATCATTAGTGGCATTCGCTATAAGTAGCCAGCCAATAACTTTCCAGCATGTAATGTAGTAGCTAGCCATTTTTGGCAGCTGCCGCTAATGGTACACTAAGTAACTAAGTAATCGATGAGCAAAACTACAGTGAACCGCTTAAAACGCCTGCATAGGTCCACTGAAAATCTACTATAAAATGTTTGCTGAGTGCGCATGTATTTTTTTCAGCTGTTGCACCTATCTATTTTAATATTGTAAGCATAATTAAATTGTTTATTGTAATTTTCATATATCAGAATGTATTTAATACCTACTTATATATGACAAAAGAAGTAGGTTAATTATAAAAACAAAGCATTGGTATCTTTTTTCTGTTTTTGCAATTTTCTAATGAAATTTCAATGACATCACCCATTCTTTTAACAGAAATCTAACTGTGAATACAATATATGAAACTTTATGGATATACGACAACCCAGATTCTTATAAGCTATATTACAAAATTACAGAAAGCTATTTTTAAAAATTCTCATCGTTTCTCTGTCTTCAACATTGCTTTTATTTGGAGTTCTACAAATTTTGATATTTACCTCAGATAGCTTTGGAAACATGAAGCAATTTTCTTGCAAAGCTTCTCTTCCAAAATCTAAGGTTTTTACAAACCGAAAAACCAATTGTTTGATAAGAAATGGTGGTTATGAGACTTTGTTGGAACCTTTTAGAGTTTACTTGAGAACATTGAACAATCCTGGTTGTAGCTCCATTTGTGGGGCTAATATACGCTTTTGCAATAAAATCCTCATAACCATGGGCGTTCCGAAATATTTTTCGTACACATCCACGGTACTGCAGCTTTCACAATCTTATGTAGTACCTGCCAATATAATATCCACATATATAGCAAAATCATAAGAATATCATAAGAATTTCAAATTTCTTGTGGCCATTATGAGAAGAACAGAACTTACCCAGTCGGTAACTAATAAATTTTAGATATATTTAGATTTATAATAAGTATATTTAGTTAATTCACCTCCAAGGGATCAAGGAAAATGGTTTAACTTAAAGAGTGTTCAACTAAAGCAAATTTCCGTTAAGTTTAGCTTCAATCGTATAGCACGTACATAAAATTTACGCCATTACACTAATGTTTAAATGAATAAAGTTATTAATTGTATTCACGCAATACTGTCAAAAAATAACATTCAAAAAAGTTTAGCGACACAATGGCTTCTTTATTATTTGGTAATAAAATTGCGTCTAAATGGTAACAGTCTTTTATTTAGAAATGCATTAAACTACAAAATCAATGCCGGATTAACCAAGGCGCACAACGCAGCTGTGCCAAAAAGTAGAGCTCTAGTAGGGCCCCCAGTTTTTAAATAAATATGGCACAGCAGTTTTGAGTTTGTAGGGATTTCTTTATCATTACTGCAAGGGCTTATAAATGTATAAAGTGTTCAGCTTTTTATTACTAAAATTCATGAACAGGATAAGAAGGTTTGCAT